GAGCGGGGCACCCGTGGTTTGGGTAAGCGGATCTCCAGCCTGCGAAGGTTAGTTCCCACGCTCTAAGCCCCACTGGGTGCATAAGGCGGTTTGATGGAGGCTGGGAATGTTTGGGAAGCACCACTGCCAGTGATGGCTGCCTTCTGCTGCCTGGTGCTGTGGCATGGTTGGTGCAGCCAGCTCCTGGCGTGGTTAGGGGCAAGTAGTTCCACCTGCAGAAAAAAAGCTTTGCTCCTCTGTGCAAGTGGAAAAACTTGAGTTGTTCTCGCTGGTGTAGCAATACCTAAAGCAGCGCTCTGGCTCGCAGGTCGTTGTTGTATAGCACTGAGGAGGAACACTGACAGAGCTTAGTTGCCCGGCACTTCTTGGAAAATTGATGGTCTCTGAAGCTGTGGCGCGTGATGCTCATCATCTGTGGGGAGCCATGTGAGGGTGTTCTTGGCTCCAAAGCTGGTGGGAGTGTGTGGCAGCAAACCAGAAGTCCTGAGTGCTGGCTGCAGTCTTTGGACATCACCAGTGGGAAACCTCGACTGAAGCTGGGTCTTCTGTTTACGTCCTCCAGACTCTTGATCATCTTTTTTTTTCCGTTTCTTAGTGTTGGAGGTGGTTCATGACTTGCGTGTTCTCATCCGGTTTATCCATTTGTAAAAGTTAGTTCCTGGGATGATGCGAGGATGACAATAGTGGATCAGACCAAAGGACCTTTGTCCGTTCTCTGATGATGGCTAGAAGTGGGTGCCCTGGTAAAAGTACAGCAGAGAGCAAGTTTATAGCAGTGTGTCCCCTGGATTGTGCTTCCAGTCTTGGCATTTCTGAATCTGTATTTAGAATTGTCATTGACAAGAAAAATCTGTTGCTCTTTAAACCCAGGTAAACTTGTGGTACCGCAGTGTCCCGCTGCAAACCATTTCACAGCTTAGTTACCTGTCATGTGAAGAAGTACCACTCTCTCATTTTGACGCATTGTCTGCCTGTTTTCCCTCAGTGCTTGTATTGGAAAAGCGCATGGATGTTCATTTGATAATTGTCCTCTGCAGGGCAAATATTCTAGCCAGTGGTCTCTTGTTTTAGTTTGCAAACCTGTAATCTGTTTATTTGTTTCTCATATGGAAGCTGTTTCATACCAGTGACTAGATAACGTGAAAGTGAGAAATTGAGTATGTAATTCTCTTGGGTACTTTCAGCATGATGTTTTGGCTAGGATTAGGTTGCCAAACATATCCCAATACTTACAATATGTATGAACTCATTGCAGCTGCTGTCCTTGAGTACTGGCAGCCTGGGAGGACAGGTTCACTATGTGGTGTGGGAGACACATCTTTATTAGACAGCGTTTGGCTTTCTTTCTGTGCGTGGATTAACTAACCAAGTAAATAAAGAAGGTGACCTCTTGCAACCTCAATCCATGATCACAAGTAATCAGATATCTGATGGTTTTATCTTTGCCATCCTACAATAGTTATAGCGCAATGTGAAAGAAGCAGCCAGGTTACGTTTTGTAAAATCCTCCTCACTAGGCTAATTAAAGAATAAATTAGGCAAACCTATTTAAGGAATGATTGATTCAGTTTTGGATTTAAAGTGCTTTTTCCCACTCATGAGTCCAGCTGGTGAGGAAGTTTCACAGTTAAAGGCCTTCATGAAGCAAACAGAGAGCTTTCTGCATAAACAACTTTCTTGCATATTTGATTGTAATTTAGTAGAAATGAAAGCGGGTGAACGTAGGAGTTACCAGATGTGGCAATATTCATTTCTGCAGTTGAGTTGCCAGGGAAAACTTCTTTGTTAAAACAGGTTTATTTTTTAAATAAGAGAGGTGGAAACTGGATCTCTCATAAAGCTCTGTAAGGAACATGTTTCTCATTAAAGAGATTATTTTCTCGTATGTTGCACGACACTTATCAAAGAGGCTTTTGGCACCTTTGGCAATTTTGAGAAGTGCTTAAGTCAATTTAGCAGCCAGAAACCGGGAGCTAGTGCACAGGAGTCAGCTGACTGGAGATCATGGTTTCGTATCAATGATTTGAGGGAGAAAATAAAGCTTTGAAGGAGAAAAACATTGTTCTGAATTCTGATAGGGATACTTCCTGTTTGTTCTGTAACTGCTTTTTTAGTTGCTCTGCATTTTTTTATTAACTTGGTCCAGAGAATAAGTTGCTGTAAGAGTTGTGCCAGTGCCTGCTTTGAGGATGGGGTGCGTCGGGTGGCTCGCTAAAATCAGGTGAGCGTGGTACCTACGTCTGGGGAGGATGACAGCCCGGCCTGGTCATGGCCTTGGGGAAGTGGCTGTGGGCGCTGCTTTGCGGGGGACAGCGTTCCTGGTATTGCTGCAGCGGGGGGAAGTTTGCTGCTGACACAGTACATTGGTACAGCGGTTTTGGACATTGTTTTCTCTTGTTTGAGTTTGTTTTGGTTTGAGGCCAGTCTGTTGGTTCAGCTCCTTCAAATATTCCTGCAGTCAAATGTCCTTCTCTTTGGCTGCTCGGGCCTTGAGCTGGCTCCTGGGGCAGCAGCCCAGAAATGGATGAATATGAGCTACCTGGCAGAGGGGGCCCTGTCTCTCTGCTTGCTTTTTTTTTTTTTCTTTGCAGTCGTGTATTTTTGACTGACTTGCACGCTGTCCTAGTTAGGTCTTCAAAGACCACGTGCGGTAGGCTGTGTTGCTCATAGTATGATTTGGAGAATCAAAAGATTTTTGTTGTTCCGTCAGTTCTGCTCTGCCTATTCTAGAAATATCAATGTGATGAGATGTGATTGTTTAGCTGTGCTTGCCTAAAATACGTTTCAAAATTTTCCCTTTGTATTTTTAACACTTGATTGCTTTTTTTGTTGTTTCCTTTTTTCTTCTAGAATTCTTCTGAGAGCCACAATTGTGCCAAAAGCATCTTGACCTCAGACAGGCTGCAGATAGTTGTGACCCTTTCGGAGTTCTTTAACGAAACCTGGGAGGCAGCCAACTGTGCAAGTACGTGACTCGTTCTGTAGCTTACATGCTACTGTTATGACTTAGCTTAACTTTGCCCCTAAAATTTGCACAGATTAGAATTGTATGTATTTGTTTAAATACAGGCAGTATATAACATAAAAATGCTAAACTAGAGCCACTCCAGTGAAGGGTGAGGAGGAGCTTTTTATTTTATAACAGATGCTGCCAAAATGTGAGGACACTAGTCTATTGGAAAAATTAGTTGTTATATATAAATCCTTCTTTTAGGCTATTCTTTCAAAAGGTAGTCATGTTAGTTTTCTTTGTGATCTACAGACCCTGCGGGAGACTTTCCTTAGCTTCATTGCGGTTTCTTCTGTTTTTCCCAGTCTTCCCATTTTTTAAAAAAACATACATAAGAAACTTTTCCTTGTTTGTTAATAAAGTCAGTAACTCTGGAATGCTTACACATTGAACAGTATCTGCCTCCACAGATGCTTTTTGTTTCATTTTATGGGTGGAGGGTGTCCAAGTCTATCGCTGTGGCTTGCTGTCCCCACGCTGATGGTGCTGTGCCACACTTACAGCTAAACTATGGCTTTTTGCCATTCCCCTGCTGTGGGAAGTGGGACCCTGCACTAATAGGTGCACTAGAAAACAGTGGGAGTAGCACTGTGGAGTTGAGTGTTAAAGACGCTGGGTTTGCTGCAGAGACCCTTGAGAGCCCAGAAGAGTTTGTTTTCGTTTGTGAGTCTGGGCTGTGTGAAGGCTGGAAAGGCAGTACAGGGGCAGCTCTGTGGTCTGCGCTGTCCCTCTGGGCTTAGCCTGTGGCCTGCGTGCTGCCTGCCCAGAATCCAGCTGAATGCTCGCCCTCAATACTGATGGCGCTTCCTTCTTTCAGGAGACTTTTCTAGGATGTTGGCTTTGCTCTCACGGTGCTGTTACTGAACATCTAAATTCCCAAACCACTGTTGTTTTCAAGGGTCTGTCTGGTTAGAGCACCTGAAGTGGGGTGGGGTGGATGGAGGCAGTAACATGGTAGGGTTGAGCCTATGACTGCGAGGAAAGCCCCAGAACTCCCCTCAAAGCTGGTGAAATGGTCAGCTCTTTTCTTAAACAAGAATACCTACACTCTGATTTCTACTATTACGTTCATGGTCTAGCTGTTTCCTGGGTGCTCTCTGTTTCAGCTCCACTGCTGGTGCTTCTGCTTTCACATAATGGCTGTTACTGTTGCTGGGCAAAGCCAGATTTGCAGGCTAGAAAATAAAAGTAATGTCTTGTTTTATCTTAAAGTCCAAAGATAATTCAGACCCCCTTTTCAGAAAGCTCTTGATGATAGTCTTCATCTTTCACTTAATCAAAGCCAATTAATTCTGAAATACGTTCTCGATGAAGAGTTAGGTCAGCAGGTCTGAGACATCAGTGGCAGGCAGATAAGGAAACCGCAGTGTTGACTAGACCTGTCTTTTATAGTCAAGAGCTCTTTTTGCAGGAGTGGAGTGTCTGGGACTTGTCGGCTATGGAAATGTTAGAAATTAGAATATCCTGATGTTTTTCTTTCTCTTTGACAGATTGTTTAAAGAACAGCAGTGAGGGATTATCAAATTCTACTGTAGAATTCCTGGATTTATTCAATAAATCTCTGACATGTTTTGAACATAACCTTCAGGTATTTATGCTGTGTATTTAAGAGAAGCACTAAATCCTCTAATTGCTAGCAAAATTTTATTTATGCTGAATAAACTGCAGATACAGATTAGGCAAATAAACTGCTGGTGAGTTTGTGAATTTTAGGCAGATAAAGCAATGATCTGCAAAGTGCAGATGTTTACAGATTGAGAGCCTAAAATTAATTCTAATTGATATTCACCTTGACTTAATTTTGTATGTAATTGCAGTGCTACTTCACATCAGAATTTCTGAATTCACAATAGTTGATAATTATATAGTAAGAAACAGCATGTCTGCATGCTCTAAGTCTCTTTTTCTATCTCTTTGTTGAATTGTTGTCTTCTGACTTAACAATGCAATCTTTAAATAACCTTTTGATCATACAGACTAGTTCAGAAAGACCAGCTACCTTAAATCATTGTAACAATTCTTTTTGACTAGTAAAACTATGGGTAGTTAAAGTTTGTCCATATTGCAAAGGCGATATAACTAACTTAGTGAAATAAATGTGGTAATTGTCCTCAGAGAAAATGCCCTAAAGAAAATAGCCCAAGAAACCACGCATATTCCATTTCAATCAGAAACTGGCCAAGTTCTGGGATCGTTCAATAGTAAAAGTGGGAAATTATGGGTATGGAACAATCTCTGAGGAAACTGTCTGCTTTTTTTATTATTAATGATTTCTAGGAAATGTACCTTTATAGGCCTTAGTCAGGAGCAGCGTGGACTGGCCTATCGATCAGTTCAAATGTCAGAACTAGAACTTCACCCAGTGGTCGCTGGGTAGCTGGTACAACCATTACTGGGTTGGAATATCTTTAGAGATTGTAGTTTTGTTTTCAGGTGTGTCGTATTGCATTCAGGAGTGGTGAAGGCCACAAATGAAAAAGATAACTACGGCACAGTCTGTCCCTGTCAATATGGAAACAGCAGTAGCAACCTAACAGTTGTTAGGTATGGGCAAACAAAAACAACAAAAAAACCCCCATTAAGGAACCTGGTATCTCTGGCTCCAGAATAACATTTAATTACTAGTAATTTTTTTTTTTTTGTGGGAACTGGTACTTTAAAAATAAGTGTTTAAATAAAAGAGCTGCTAGTTCAAAGAACAGTTTGAGATGCAGAACCTGCAGGAAATGGGTCCTGTCCCTAGTGAATTCAAGTTGGTCCTTTTTCTTCCTGCATTCTCATGTGAGTTGTCTGTCTGGGCCTTTACTTAATCTAGGATGCTAAAAATCTGGATTTTTCGTTCAAACTTGACTCTATTTTTCAAGTTTTTTTTTATAATGCCTTAAAAGAGCACTGATACAAAGTTTTATAACCCTAGGGACAAACCATCTATCTGTCACCAAATAACTACACAGAAGTATGTAAAAACTGCAACGAAACCTACAAAATGCTGAATGACCTGTATAACAACTTGCAAAGGATGAACAGGCAAGGTGGTGAGTCTGGGCACTCCACACACTTGTGTATCGACGTGGAAGATGCAGTAAGTATTTATTAGTACTCAACAGGGAGACCTTGTCATGGAGGTCTTTATTAATCTGAGCCATTTGTGCTTGTCTTGCTATGGATTGCCTTTTCCCTTTCGGGGTGGGACAGTACTGGCAGTAGTGCCTTTGTCAGGCTGATGTCCCGTGAGGAAGAAGTTAGCCCGGTGGGGCTGTCTTGCTAGGTCCTGTCCTCAGTCAATGCAGCAGGAGCGTGACTGAAGCTCTTGATCACCCCAGTGCATTTCAGTTTAAGTAGCTGCACTTTAATTTCTTGTTACTGCGAAGGGGATGGATTAAAAAAAAAAATCGTCTTCATCTTCTGGCTTTTAATACGAAGCTTTACTGCTATTGTTCTAGCCAGTGTAATTACAGCAGCTGTTTCTAGGGGTCCTCAGCATTGGCGACATACGTTTGGAAAAAGGTTTGTTATATTGTGGGGTTTTAAGCGGTTGGGCAAAAGGAGTGCTGTTGAAAGTATGGGATTGGCCCTGTCCCCGCAGGCTGTCAGTGAGTTCTCTGGGAAACAGGCATGTGGCAACGCTACAGTGTATCTGAGTATAGTCTGGTTTTGAAGCTTGTAGAAGTTTTGACGTGAAATTTTGGCTCCATTTAAATTGTCTGTTTCTACATTTTCAGGGATATGCTTGCTTCTGGTGGGGGGAGATCTGTTAGAGGGTTATTTTCTGAGGTCGTATTTGAACACTTGAACGTCTTGAGGCCTGAGTGTTTGCCATGCAGCACAGCAGAAATGCATGTGCTCGCTTTCACGGCTTGCTTATGTTTTTCTTTTAGATGAACATCACTCGGAAGCTTTGGAGCAGGACTTTCAACTGTTCTGTTCCCTGCAGTGATACAGTCCCAGTGATTGCAGTTTCATCCTTTATTCTCTTCCTACCTATTGTTTTTTACCTTAGTAGCTTCCTTCACTCGAAGCAGAAGAAACGGATACTCATTTTGCGTAAGTGATGGTGCTGGCATTCACTGTTAGAGTGGGGTGGTGCCAGGGACTCGCTTGGCTCTTGTGGGAGCGGGGGCCCAGCCAGATCTGCCTGCAGCTGTGCTGACGGTGCTAATAGCGACTATTAGTCTGCTGCTGTCCCCTGAAGAAGGGTAGTAAAGAGCTTCAGCCACATCTTTTCATTAAAGTTTCTGGACGTGAACAGAAAGCTGTTTGCAAGTCTGTGTCGGATAAATAGAGGGAGTGGAGAGACTAGTTTTGTGAAATTCTTTGTGTTTAATTTTCATATAATTTTTCCCTTTCTAGCCAAGCGCATCCAGTCAAATGCCAGTCTTGTGAACATCCAAGAAAAATACAGCTGAGCTGCAAAACAAAACCTGAGAACTGCTGCTGGTATACAGTGGATACAATTGTGTTGGAATGAGGCCGGCACAAAAGAGGAGTTAATTATGGTTTAGTGTAATGATACAGAGCAACACAAGTTAAACAAAATGCTGTCTGACTTCTAAGCGAGGATATTATCAAACATGACAAGGCAGGGCTGTGTGACACTGTATGGACTCTAGTTTTGAAAAATATGTGGGTTTTTTCAGTCTCAGGCTGAAGCTGGTGTTTTTCTGTTTCTAAGCTTTTGTACTTCTCATCAATAGAATAGCTACACTTTCCTGGCATGTTTTTTTCCTCTTTAATTTATCGTATTTGTTTCAGAGAAACCTGAGATTCTGAATCTTTTTGAGGTGATTTTCATAGACGGACAAAACTTGATGTAATATTTGATGTTTAATTCCACATAATATTCAGTTTTGCTAGACTTGGGATGGACAGGAAACCTTTAAAAAGAAAAGTTCCCATCTTTCTGATACCTCTCTCTAAAGTCATGCTGCTGGTCTCTGTTGGGGAGTTGGGGGGAGGCATGAAATATGTGGAGGAAGTGGTAATATTTAATGTCCAAAGCCAGCAACAAAAGCAACAGAACTGCCAGTGCTAGACATGAATAATAATCACTTATGACTACAATATTTGGTTATCTCTGAAACAGGTGGCATATTTAGTCATTTGCACACTTTAACCACTAAAATAATTGCTTTTCAAATGTTAAATTTTCAGAGGCTTGTTTTAGATGTCTGCTTGGGTAACTGAATGCTTCACTATTTGTCTGTTTATTGTGTTATTTCCTTTCCTTTTTAATTTTCAAGGGTGTTTTTTTTTGTTTTTTTGGGGGGTTTTTGCTTTTGTAAAGAAGTGAGGTAAAGTCAAGTCACTGGAGATGCTGAATTTCCTGGTCTAGAGCTTGCTATGGCTTAATGCAGAGGTGTTTACAGGAACTTTGTAGGG